ATCTGATTTTTACAGAGTTGTTTCCCCTGTAGTGTTATGTGCCACCTTAAGGGATCTATATTTTATTTATTCATAGCTTGTCTGAACCTACTCGGGACGTTTAATGGTTTTCACGTATGGTCTAGACACTTGTTTGTATGATTGAACACCCTCTTTAAGCAACTGCCAAATTACTTATATCTTGTTTTTTTTTTATTTGTTCACATTAGCAAGACATACTGATTTTTGCAATTTATATAAAGACATAAAATATTTATGAATTAGCAAATTACTACCTTGTTATCAAGAGCTTACTTGAGTGTCATAGCTTACTACACCAGGTCATTTTAAAGCAAACTAAACAGTTTTAAACATTATTAAGATCGCAGGTTCTTTCAAATGAGACGTCATGTCGTTATCACTCTGCTACTCCCCCCCCCCTTTGTATAAAGAAACAGTTCAGTGGTAATTTCTTTAGAACCCAAACACCATTTACACATATTTTCCTGTATATATATTTTTCTAAGACGGGTTTTTTTCATGGAATATCTTTCAGGGTTTGTAGCATTTGTTTGTTTTTATAGTGATTAAGGTTATAACATAATTTTGACTGCTGTACAATGTACCCCTATTTTTGATATTTTTACCCATTGTGTCTGGGTTTTTTTTCACACATTGATGTCAATATAATGGAATTTTATGCAACTGTTAAAAAGTGAGAGGTTTAGCTAGCTATAAAACCAGGTTTAATCCACCATTTTCAACATAAGGAAATGCCTGTATCAAGTCAGGAATATGACAGTTGTTTTCAATTCGTTTGATGTGTTGAGCTTTTGATTTTGCCATGTGATAAGGGACTTTTCGTTTGAATTTTCCTTGGAGTTCGGTATTTTTGTTATTTTAATATTCAGATATTCAGAAACCAGGATTGTTGGCTGATCTGTGAACTATTGTGTTCTAATCCCGACCATGACATTTTGACTTATTGTGAATTTGCATGGTGGGTGAGGCAAGATGGGCAGGAGAAGCCTATCATATCGACACGACGGTCTTTCTTCTTTTAGAGTTTTCATGATTCCCTCAGGTTTTACCAGGATTCGTATCTTCTAAATAGATTAATGAGATTTGAAGATCTACTCTGACCTCTAATTTATAGAGGAGAAATATAGATTCCACCACTGCAACAATTGCGTTACGATATTTGTCCCCTCGAGACAGTTAAATTTTTAATATTTAAAACGCGAGGCTTGCCAGAGCTTTTTAAACAATTAAAGTTTAACTGTTGAGAGTGGAAAAACATCGTAATACACGAGTTATAGTTGTGGAATCTGTTTCTCTAATGATTTCTATCCTTCCTTTTCAAAGATTTGCAGAAAGGTGTGTTCTTTATATGTTACGTCATCATGATTGATCGCCTGTTTAATGACGTCACAACAGGAAATTACGAAGAAACCAAGAAAATTTGACGTCATAATTAAAATTAGTTTGTTCACTAACTCATAGTTTTGGCCCTCAAAAATCTGATTTTTTTCACTACGAAAATGGGTTGAAAATTCGATTAAAACATATGCTAAAATCTCCAATAGTTTTGCAGCTAAAAAAAGATGTTTACAAATTATGTCATTAGTGACGTATTTGTGACGTCATAATGTAGGTGAATTTCGTAAAATTTTGATTTTTTTGCAGAATTCTACAAAATATATGGCAATTTTCTTCAAAATTGACAGTGTCGCCACCCTTCGCCCACAAATAGTTTTGCTGAAATCTTCTTTATATATCATACTCTTTACTTTTCAACAAAAATGTCAATGGGCGAGGGGTGGCGCCACATATAAAATCATGAATTAAGGTGAAAAGGTTTAAATTTCGAAGAAAATGGATGAAAATGAAATCTTTCCCTATTCTAGGCTAACATCTTTAAAAATATGAAGCAGATATATAACTTTTTCTTATTATTCTTTCCAAAATCATACATTTAGCAATACATACACATTAGATTTACATTGATAATTAAAGTTTAAAAACACACCTCTACAGGGCCGTTTATTGGGGTTCCTGGCTCTACTCATTTGCCGAGAACATTTATTTCACTAATGAGGAGAACATTATTTTTTTTTTCACAATCGGTTGGAAAATGTGAGAAATTGGAGAATAAACAATTCAGATACCTTTCTACGGTATGTAAATGTTTTCAATTTGTTAAAAAAAGAGAACGTACAGTATCCGATTTCTTTCTTTCCATTTCTGTGATTTTTGAGGTAACAGTTTGCAATAATGATTCTTTTAGAACTTTTATTATTAAAAGAATTACAATTTCTAACATTTCTACCTGAAGGGAGAGAAATTGATTTCTTTATTTTATTGCTGTGAATTTTGCAGTTTGCAGTTATGATTCTCTTAGATCTTTTATTATTAAAAAAAAGTATATCAACCATCAATTTTATGGGTATAAAACCGACCCATTAGCTCAGGTTGCTCCAGAACTTACATGCTGTCTTCATCTACCTGAAAGTGAACAAAGGTAAGTCGGCAATATTGCAATGTATATACAGTTTGCTTAGTTTCTTTTGTTACCTATTCTGACATCGGACTCTGACTTCTTCTAAACTGAATTTTACTGTGAGTATTGCCGTGTGTTTGTTTTTTCTACATTGACTAGAGGTATAGGGAGAGGGTTGAGATCTCACAAAACATGTTTAAACTCGCCGCATTTTTGCGCCTGTCCCAAGTCAGGAGCCTCTGGCCTTTGTTAGTCTTCTATTTTTTTTTTAAATTTTAGTTCATTTATATGTTTGGGAGTTTAGTGTGACGTCCATTTGCATTGAACTAGTACATAGTATTGTTTAGGGGCCAGCTGAAGCCCGCCTCCGAGTGTAGGATTTTCTCGCTGTGTTGAAGACCCATTGGTGGCCTTGTGCTGTTTTCTGCACTTTGGTCCCGTTGTTGTTTTTTTACACATTCCCCATTTTCATTCTCTATTTTACAGTAAATCTGTTTTTTCGAGTCTACTTAATTATCTATAGCTATTTTGGTATGAAGAGATTGTGAAAAAGGGAGAGAAAGAGATAATAAGAAAGAAATGAAGAGATTTTAAAAGGAGTTTATGTGTTTATTCCTATCTTGTAAAACAATTATCTTTTGTTGATATATTTTTTTAAAGCCGGTGACACCTTGGTCGGGAGCTGCTGAAAGGGTGATACAAAACCCTAACTATTGAAAAAATAAATAGCAAGTTTTAAAAAGCTCCGGTTTACTTCAGACCTTTTAAAATCATTGAATATTCATCGATGTGATAATTAAACTTTAATGTTTTCATCACTTCAAACTTAATTGTTATTTACTTTATATTTGTATATCAATAAAAATGTACCGCCTGTATACGTAATCGTATAACAATTATCATTTATAATATATGATATATTTGTTTTTTTTCTAATTCACTGTTGATAAATGAAAAAAAAAACTTTTTTTTTCGGGTAAGCTGACCATAGATGAATTTAGAATTCTTTCTATGGTCCATTTTATCATCCTAATAACAGCTATATATTTCTTCCTAAAATTTACCAGTTTTTGTCAGAAAGCTATCAAAAATCCATTCAGACAATGTATAAATTATTACTTAAGGAATGACTGTAATATTTTTTCTGTCTATGAAGAAATAACATAAAAAATGTGGTGCACACTGAATAACCCGGGAGTAATTTCCTTATAATCCAATTCCTTTCATTCCTTCTAATTTAATCATAAATTCTATTTTAAGGAGTAAATCACAAAAAAATCATTGATGACGTCACGGTCACATTAAAAAATTATGTCTATGAGCTGATAAACAAAAAACTTTCCGCCAACTAGAAGACGTGTTACATCTTAAATAAAATTATAATGAAATAAACAGATTTATTAATGGTATCAAAATAGATAGCGTATTTTAATCTTATCGTTGATGACGCCGCTCGTATAAAAGAAGCCTTTAGCCTTTGTTACCTATTCTGACATCGGACTCGGACTTCTTTTAAACTGAGTTTTACTGTGCATATTGATGTGTGTTTGTTTATTTTACATTGGCTAGATGTATAGGGGAGGTTTGAAATCTCATAAAACATGTTCAATCCGCGCCGCATTTTTGCGCCTGTCCCATGTCAGGAGCCTCTGGCCTTTGTTAATCTTGTATGTTTTTTAATTTTAGTTTATTTATATGTTTTGGGGTTTAGTGTGGCGTCAATTTTCAGTGAACTAGTACACATTTTTGTTAAGGGGCCAGCTGAAGCCCGTCTCCGGTGCGGGATTTTCTCGCTGTGTTGAAGACCCATTGATGACCTTCGGCTGTTTTCTGCTTTGGTCGGGTTGTTGTTTCTTTGACACATTCCCCATTTCCATTCTCAATGTTATTTACAAAAAGGTATCTACTACATACATGGACCTCCTCACGTCTTCCGCGTATTTATACATATTTGGCTTCGGAATTGTTTTGTTAGAGCATTTTTGGTTGAATGTGAAAACAAAAATAGCGCTCATGGTTCACCAAATTTTTACTTTTAGTGTTATTTTCTCATAGAGGGAATCAAAATACAATCTACAATTATTTTATGAGCTCTTTTGTTATTGGCTTTTTTAAGGGTATACCTTGACAGCTCACTTTATCCACAGGCCAAACATGCAAATGTCCCATCTCAAACAATGTGGGAATTCGGAAAGTATTACAAATGTAAAAATTAGGAGGTGTGTAGCATTTTAAAGAAAGTACTTCTATTTGAAAGAGAGGCGAAAGATACTAGAGGGACATTCAAACTCATAAGTCGAGAAAAACTGGCAAAACCAAGAAAAAGACCAACATACAAACAATTGTACACAAAACACAACATAGACATATAAAGACTGAGCAACACGAACCCCATCAACAACTGGGGGTGATCTCAGGTGCTCAGGTTAGCAGATTCTACTCCACTTGTGGCACCCGCCGTGTTGCTCATGTTAGTGAAAAAGAGAACTACAGTATCCATTTTTATATTTTTTGTAGAATATTTGTGAGTTTTTGTGTGAGGATGACACGTTTCTCTCTAGCATCGATTGTAAGTACATTAAAAAAATAATAAAAAAGTATTGTTATTATTATTATCATTTATTATTAATTGATTTATTGATGATATTTGTCATTGATTGTTGGTGTCAATCGCCTGTTTCAGCACGATAGGATATATAGTTTCGGTCAGTTTTTACCGGTCAAGGAAGCCGAAGTGCCCACAGAAAACCACCAACCTTCGACAGAAACAACTGACAATCCTTGTCAATCTAGATTGGAACGCACCTGCCACTTCTGATATTCGAACTCACAACCTCATTGTTGACAGATTAGTGTCTGTGATACAGTAGATAACCTACTTAATCAGCTCAGCCACCATATAGGACAACTTTTATCCAAAACTGCAGAAAAAGACTTAAATTTATGTCGACCAAAATTTCTTGACCCCCAGTTCTGTCTTTTAGTTTATTTTTTTCATTTTATGACATGAAAATCAGATTAGTAAGACATTTATTTTATTCATTTCATAATTTGAAAGGGGGTGTATGCAGAAAATTAGTCCGATTCATTGAGGATTATACGTCAGACAATTACATGAAAATTCCTTTCTCTAAACCCATTAGTAGTTTTATAAGCATCGCTAAGAAAAATATATTTCATTTTTTAAATTTCAAATTATTTTTTTTTATGTTGTCATCAATGATAAATCTTGAATTACTTCAACGAGACATTACTATAACATTTTGATCACAGAGTGAGCAGAGACGTTACTATGTTTACCATAATTTTAACGGGATTTACTTATGTCATTCAAAGCAACATTTTATTTTTAATTTAAGGTGTGTTGTATTTTGCTCTCCTCATCGTCATCGGGTACGTATGTTTGTTTTCTATTTTAGCAACGTATTTAAGTTGTTTAGAACACATAAGGGAGTTAACTCTTTAAGAATCAGCCGGACGTTTCAATCACGAAATATAAGTGAAGAGAAATCAAGCTTCTCAGTGATAGAATTAATGTTTGTCAAACGGCTATGTACCCAATGAAATTATTCATGTATATTGTGTGGCTCAAATTTCCTGAAATATTTTATATTTAGGTCAACGGGTCAAAGTAAAGATTTTGTCAAAATTTTATGAAAATTAAACTAGCCAAATCTATTTTAGTCAAAGTGTTGTGTATCCTCCTGATACAAAAAAGGTCCGTCTTCAAATCGCCGTTGCATAAATTAGCTTAGATACTAAGAAGGATATGTTTTAAAAATGTGGTGGATAAAAATAACAAAGGTGTCTTTTCTTATTTTATTGATTGATTTTGGCTGGAAGGGATAAACAACTCAAGGGTACCGATGTTCAAATTTTATCAATCGATCAAGAAAAAACAAATCAAAGAAACAAACAAAACCTGAAGGAATGCTATGAGCGCAAACAGGACAGAAACATTCGACATTCTAAGTGTCTCTCCCTATGCATGAACACTCAGTCGAAATATCACAATCGGAAAAAGAACAAAATCGGTAAAATTAAATATCCGACGACTACTCTGGTATTTTGAGATCTAAGACATAGAACACATTTCGCCAGTGATCTAGGAGATAAAATAGATGATTTTTCATTTCCTATTGTTAACTATCCATTTTTAGATAGTGAAGTTCCCTTGTAATCATCTTATGGTGTTTATATATCTTAACTTGTTCGATTCGCTCGTGTATGTAACAATGTATTTGATTTGAACGAAAGAAATCGTCGTATTACAGAAAAATTGTTGCACCAGGGTTTTCGATATCACAAACTTGTCACAAACATTTACTAAATTTTATAATCGGTACATGGACATCATTCGTAAATTTAAATCAACGTGCAGACATCTTGTACGTTCAGGTATTTCACATCCAATCTTTTGTGGAAGTATTCTATACAATGCACCAAAATGTCGCCATTCATATCAAAAGCTAACAAAACCTCTAAAAAGACTTATTCTGAAGGAATATAGTTACAACACTGTTGTCAGTTCATTAAAGATGGCATTCTTTTTGAATTCATATTGATTCACTCATAGGGTCTTTGCATTGGAAATAAACACATTTATTCTTAAACGAGTTGTTAGCATGATACGGGTCATGTTCTTCTCGTATATTTCATGATGGTATGATACTAAACCCCTAACGGAGGGATTGTGCATGATTTTCTTATCATGGAGACAAAATGTTTGAATCAGTTTAATTGAGGTCTAGAGCTGGCATGTCAGTAACTGCTAGTTGTCCTTTGTTAATTTATGTTGATCATTGTCATTTTGCTTAGTTTCTTCTGTTACCTATTCTAACATCGGACTCGGACTTCTTTTTTACTATGGGTATTGCTGTTTGTTTGTTTATTCTTCATTGACTAGAAGTATTCGGGGTGCGATATCACAAAACATGTTAAACCCCACTGTTTTTTTTTACGCCTGTCCCAATTCAGGAATCTCTTGTATGTTTTTTTTATATTTGGTTGATTTATATGTATTGGAGTTTAGTGTGACGTCCATTTTCGCTGAACTAGTACGTATTTTTGTTAAGGGACCAGCTTAAGCCCACCTCCAGGTGCGGGATTTTCTCGTTGTGTTGAGGACCCATGAGTGGCCTCGGGCTGTTTTCTGCCTTTTGGTCGGGTTGTCTCTTTGGCACATTCCCCGTTTCCATTTTTAATTTTCTTAAACACTTCGTATCGGTTTGAAAATTTGTGATGATGACCATAAGTCTTATGAAGTGTCAATTTCAGACGATCTTCCTCATACCTCTGTTGTGTAAGAATAAGTCCTTCTCACCTAAAACAAAATAAAGTCCAAACATGCACGATAGAAAATAGTTGTTCAGAGGCTGTTGTTTTGAATATAAATGAGGTATAAAGAATAAATAAAAAGGTCTGTTTAATTTACGTTCGTTTAATTTTTTCGTATCCTTGGAATTGGTCATTGTTTGACTTCAAAATCAGAAAGTAACGTAACTTTTTTACAATTTACGCTAATGTGCCACTAACTGGAGGATGAAAAACACTTCCTCCCTGAATGTAAAATTAACAAAAAACTAAGGGATAATCTATTTAAAAATTGTTTACTTTCTAATAATTTTATATCTCTAACCCGAGAACAAATAGTAAAACATATGCTAAACCCCTGTGTCATAAAACATGTTAAGAATAATAGCTCCATTATAAAACAGTCAATAGAACTGACGGCAAAAGCCTTATATTTTTTCATGTATTTATTTCTTATATAATGTATATGTCTTTGCTATATAATGATTGTTTTTTTTTATCATAAACTAATATGTTTATATGACAGTAAAGATATTATGATATTTATGAACTCCAGGGGGTAAAATTTTCAATCTTTAAAAATATTATTTTGTCTGAAACTTTCCTTCACGTGGAGCACAAAAACAAATGTTTAAAAGGCAAGGATGTACAAAACCGAAACACGTGAAGAGCTATATGAACAAAAGGTATATAAGAATAATAGCCAAATTCATGCAAGGTCAACTTTGCCGGACGAAGTTAAATTCTTATTTTTTTTTTAAATTTATAAACGGTATTCCAGAAAGGTATGTTTATGCTTTTTAAGGTGGAACATACATGTAGCACTGCAAAAAAAAGGAGAAAATAGGTTAAAAAAAGAGAGAAAATGGGTTAAAAAAAAGAGAAAATAGGTAAAATAAAAAAAGAAAAGAAAAATGGGAAAAAAATTTAAAAAGGAAGAAATTGTAATATAAATATAAAGAATAAAGATAAATTACCTTTAAGTGAAGGTGGTACATAAAATACAGGGAGATAACTCCGTAAAAATCAGCTAAACGTTTTAATAACGTTCTATTTTTAAGGAAATATGAAGCTTCACATTGGTCAAAATCAGTGTTTTTCAAACTGCTATACATCCAATGAAATTTTTCCGACAAAGCATATGCATGTGGTTCAAGTTTTTTGAAATTCTTATATTTTTGTCAAAGATTAAAATTTAATATTTTGTCAAAATTTTATGAAAATTAAACAAGTCAAATTAATTTTAGTTAAAGTATTTGGTACCACCTTAACATGCTAGGTTTTCCGCACATTTTAAGATCTGCAATGTGCACTATCGAAATTGATAAACATTGTAGCTAACGGAATATAGTGTTAAAATCTATTTCTTTATGATTGACGGAAAATATTGATTGCAATGTTCTGTATTGATACGGTGGAAGGTAACACGTGACAAACAAATCAACGTGTTAATAAAAAAATTTCTCTAATTCTTTGCTGATTTATCTGTTTCCCGACTTGTTGATTATTTTTATTTTATAAACGTGTGGTTCGTTTGATTTCAGTTGTCAATAGTCAAAATTCGATTCCGACGTCAAATTTCCTTACTTTTGTGTTTTGAATTTCTTATTGTGACGCAATGGGAAAAAGCATTGTCTGTATATCGTCTATAGATCATTAGAGAAACAGATTCCACAACAAAATCTCATGCAATACGATGTTTATTCACTCTTAAGTTTTAATATTTAAAATGCTCGGCGAGCCTCACTTTTAAAATTTGAAAATTTTACTGTCTCGAGTGGATAAATATCGTATCACACTTGATGCAGCAGTGGAATCTTTATGTATCATTCGAACTTGTCTTAGCCAGTTAAAATTCATTCAGATATTCTTTCATTCAAGAAATTCATAGTAATCAATCTATGGTCAATATATATAATTATGATCTGTTCTGTCATATAAACATAATTAGTTTTTGACATAAACATGATAAACAAAAACAAAAAACAAACATAATATTGCAAGAAAATATCAATTCTAAAAGAAATGAACACATTAGAAAAAATATAAGACTTCTGCTCTCAGTTCTAATGACTGAATAATAAAGGAGCCAATACTTTTAACATGTTCCATTATAGTGGTCTTTAGCATTACTTTTACTTTTTGTTCTGGGGTAAAAGACATAAAATTATGAGAAGATAAGTAATTTTTAAATAAATTATTCCTTAGTTTTTTGTTAATTTTACATTCAAGGAAGTTCAAAGAAGTGTTTTTCATCCTCCAGCAAGCATCACAATATATCTATATATATTTATATACATACATAATCGCTTGTTTTAGGAGTAGAAACTTGTGATCCACTTATCGACATAGTGTTCCTGTATGACGAGAGCTTTAGTATTCCGGACAACGCCTTTCCGCAAATGAAAGAGTTCTTAGTCAACATTGTGAAACAATTTGATGTTGGTCAAAATGCTGCACAGTTTGCGGCAATATGTTTTGGCTCAGACACTAAAGATCATTTCTTTTTGAAAAATCATCCAACTAAACAGACTGTCATTGACGCCATACATGCTTTCAAACCTGGAGCACGTGGATTAACATATACTGGTAAAGGATTAGAGGTACTTTAATTAATTCAAGGATAAAATACACGATAGTATGGGTTTATTATCATTCGTTGGATACCAATTTTCGAGAATTTCTTGGGTACAGGTGAACGACGAATTTAAATGTTCAATGAATTGCAAATGTTCTATATGGTTGTATTCAGACTTTTGCAAAAACCTGAAATAAAAAAACCGCGAAAATGCAGATTTTACTCAATCCACGAAAATTGGCATCACGAAAAGAAATGAATCCTCGCATTAGGTAATATGAATGGTTATAATATTCAAGCGTCACAGATGAGTCTTATAGAGACGAAACAAGCGTTTGGCTCACCAAATTATACGCCTGGTATCTTTTATGAGTTTATTCGTAATGGGTAAGATCAAGTCTCTAACATTGAACTCTCAGGATCCAAAACTATGATTCTGAATTATCATCGAGAGCGGTATTACAGGATAAATTCAAAAGATTTATAAAATAGAACGGTTGGTAAAAAATGTGATTTTATTTTCTGTTTTTTTTTTATATGTCATGTAGGAGAGTCTAGATGGTGTTTATAGAATAGTGAATAAGGTATCCCCATTGCTATCTATGTTAAATTCTGCAATTTCGAGCAATAATGGCTACTTTGTCTTAATTAGATATAAGAAGATGTGGTATGAGTGCCAATGAGACAACTCTCCATCCAAGTCACAATTTGTAAAAGTAAATCTTTGTAGGTCAAAGTACGGCCTCACCCCGAACAGCAAGCTATAAAGGGCCCCAAAAAGTGAATAGTGTAAAATCATTCAAACAGGAAAACCACAGGTCTAATCTATATAAAAAATGAGAAACGAGAAACACTTATAAACCACATCAACAAACGACATCCACTGAACATCAGGTTCTTAAGTTCAAATAAAGTGCTAGTCATTTCATGTCAAAACTATACCTCATTTGTTTGCACCTGTCCTAAGTCAGGAACCTAATGTTCAGTGGTTGTCGTTTGTGGTTCATAAGTGTTCTCGTTTCTCGTTTTTTATATGGGTTAGACCGTAGGTGTTCCTGTTTGAATGGTTTAACACCTGTTATTTTTGGAGCACTTTATAGCTTGCTGTTCCTTGTGAGCCAAGGCTCGGTATTGAAGGCCGTACTTTGACCTATAATTGTCAACTTTTACAAATTGTGTCTTGGATGGAGAGTTGTCTCATTGGCACTCATACCACACATTCTTATGTCTACTTATCCTAACTTGTGACAAATTCAACATACCTTTAATTGCATATTAGAGCCTACTGGTTCCTGGAAGTTTGATAGTACAAAAACCGGTACTTCTGATCTGAACAACAGGGCAAATATGCCCTCCTATTATAATTTTTTATATTTCTTTATTATTCAAAAGACACTTTCAATTAGGGTTCTACAGTGATTCAATGTCCCCAAGCTTTCATTTACCAACACTACCCAAATATTTCATCTTTTGTCAAAGATACAGCTACATGTATGCGTAGGAACTATTTTGTTTAGCATATGTACTACTTTCTTGTATGTTCTTTCCGACCGGGCCTGAATTTGTAGTTCTATACCTAATGGATCAATAATTCAGAAAAAAGAGAAAATAGGTAAAAACAAAATTAAAAAAATAGAAGAATGGTAAAAAATTGTAAAGAATAAAGAAAAATTAAAGTAAACTTAAGGATGTACTTAGGTCAGATTTAGGAATTTTTGTCAGATATTCGGAATCCTTGGTTTTTTCCTACGATACAGGGTAAAATATTTTGCACCATAACATTCATTTTTCTTTTCATATAAGACTTACAAAAGGTCATTTAACAAAATTTAAGCAGATTCTAGATTTAATTTCTTTTGATTGGAGACCCAATTAATATAAAGCAAACTTAAGGTAATAGTTCGAGTCAGCCTTTTCCTGCCATTTTTTTTAATTCAATATCTTGTAAAAGGAGCTCCATAACCTATCAATATTTTTAGCTTATTTTGTTCCTTAATTAATGCTCTTCTGACTAATGGTATCAATTTTAAATTCTAGATTTTCTTTAATTTTACCTTAGTACATCCTTAAAAATACAGAAAATATGACTGCTACCTTAAAAATACTGAATTTATTAGCGTGATTTGCACTATTGATCGAAATATGTGTTCAAATAAGCTGCATTGAAGACCCATTGGTGGCCTTCGGCTGTTGTCTGCTCTATGGTCGGGTTGTTGTCTCTTTGACACATTCCCCATTTCCATTCTCAATTTTATCCATTATAATGTTAAAATTAAAGATAATATAAGAGTTATGTTACCATATTTTTTCTCAATTTTTTTTAATTGTTTCTTCGAAAGAGAATCAAAAATGAATATTTGAAGGCAGCAAATGGGGGAGACCGTCCATCTGTAACCAAGGTGATTATTATTCTTACTGATGGTGCCAGTACTGACAACCCAATTCCTATTGCAAACCAGCTGAAAACCGATAAAGTTTACATATTTGGAGTTGCTGTTGGAAAATTTGATTTGAACGAAATTAATAAAATAGCGTCCGGTCCTGATTTCGTTTATCATGTGGACGACTTTTCGGATCTGAAAACTACTGTGGTGCAAAAGATTGCCGAGAACATCTGTACGAATATAGGTACGTATTCATTTTCTCGTTTGTGATAGTATTAGGTAGGATTACGTGTTCCGGTTTTCCGTCCCATATAAGGTTACGTCTTTAGTCTAAGTTAGGTTAATGTTTTGGTTTACGGTAGACTGTGGTTACGTTAACTTGATACTAAGTAAACTTATTATAAGTACACAATTTTATTTGGGGGCCACCTGAAGCCCGCCTTCTGGTGTGAGATTTTCTCGCTGTGTTGAAGACCCAATGCTGGCTGTTTTCTTTTTTCCGTTCTTTGATCGGGTTGTTGTCACTTTGACAAATTCCCCGTTTCCATTTTCAATTTTATATTGACTTTGAAGTGAACTATATAGTGTATATGCCAAATAAGGGTTTTATCCGGATTTCACGGTTCCCTGGTCGTAGAGATGTGATGGTGCGAGCGGGGCTGCCAAATTAAGGGTTTATCCGGATTCCACGGTCCACCAAACGTGGAAATGTGATGGTTCGAGCATTGCATGCTATGATTTATGAACGTTTTTTGTTTTATTTTACGTCACATTTCACATGTGAAAAAGGTTTACAAATGTGTACAAATGTGTACAAAATCTATTTCATATGGATAAGTAGGAAACACAAGACTATTGTTTATTCGTGTGCGACTCCTCAAAGTTTCATGAACATTTCAATACCACGTGTGTTTTCCTCTATTGAAAGGGGACCTCGGAAGCCGAGTTGGCTAAGTAGTCAAATGACTGTATCACTAGGCTGTCAACACGAAGGTTGTGAGTTCGAATCCCGCAGGTGGTAGGTGTGGTCGATCCAACCTTAAGGTGGACATAAAACTACAGGGAGATAACTCTGTAAAAATCAGCTGAAGGTTTTAATCACGTTCTATTGTTAAGGAAATATTAAGCTTTTCAATGATCAAAATAAGTGTTTGTCAAACTGCTAGATATCCAATGACTTGTGGTTCAAGTTTTTGTCAAAGGGTCAAAGTAAATATTTTGTCAAAATTTTATGAAAATTAAACGCGCCAAATTAATTTTAGTCATGGTGTTTGGTACCACCTTAATTGCCTAGAATTGTCATTTTTCCTACCGAAGGTCATTGATTCTCTCCGGGTACTGCGGCTTCCTCCACCGAAAAAAATGACCTCCACAAATTAGCCAATAGTGCAGAAAATGGCGTAAACACCAATCAATCAATTAATCTATTAAACAGCAATTGTAGAGAAAAGAAGACGACTTTAGATCAAAAATGTATTTTCATTTTTATAATTAAATAATACATTGCAACAATTAATAAATGTAGATAATTGAAATTGATCAAGTGACGAGTAAATTATCAAATTCATTAATTAAATCAATATTTAGTTTCAAACCTTGTAAAGGTGAAGCAGTCATATCAATATCGATATATATCAAAGCTGTAAAAAAGACATGTAAAGATATTTGGATTTCTTGAGAAATTGCTTATATTTTGGTCTCATCTTTTTATTTATATTTGAACATTTGTAATATTGTATTCTTTTATTATGACTAACTCTGCAATATCATGAATATTCTTAAGTGTCCAACACATTTTAAATTATCAAAATTGATCCTGCATTTTTTAAAGTTAAATATCAATTATAAATCATCATATTGCTTTCAAAACTTAGAAACAATATATGATTTAACTCTTTGGAATATATAAGAGTCAACAAAATGAATTTATGATGTTAACTTACAATCATAAGATGAGAATATCTATTAAAACTGGAAAGTTAAATGTTTATAAATTATGTTGATATTTTGCAATAGTGTATATTTGTTTTGCTATTAACTGGACTGAGACCACTGTGATCCGCTGGGTCAAATACATGCATCCTAGTCCGATTTCATACCTCGAAGAACAACTATTATGTACCTGTAGATAATATCTGACAATTCTTCAAAGTTGACAATCATTTGTATTCTGAATTGCATGTGGCCGTTTAATGTGTACACCCATTATTCTTTTTCAGTTCCTGCAGACGACAAAGATAGTGAAATTTGTGACAAAGACAGCGTTAGTAAAGACAGCAGTAACAAACAACATCGATATGGTTAGTACCAATCAAACGCCGAAACAATGGCGACGTCGATCCTAATATGTTATATGAAGTTGATTTGTAGATAAGTTTTGTATTGTATTGTAATGTTTGCAACTTGTTTCTTTACGAAAGAAGTTTTATCTGTTATCTGTAAAAGTCTATGAACCTTTTCCGTATTTTACCCAGTAATTAGATATTTATTTGTATGAGTTGTTTCCCTCAATTAATTAGGAGTGACTATAGGGAAAACGGTACTATTACATTTTCCCAGCATTAGGTTGGTCTTTTGTGTACCCAAGGCAGGTGAAGGAAGTCAACTTAGGAGCGCTGTGATTGGATGTTAGGGTACAATATATTTTTTTATTTATCTATGAATAACTGCAGTGTGTATATTTACAATATAAATTTTGAAACCTATTGAAATATTTTCTAGAGAATTATTCGAGAAGACTTCAAAATTTTCATAAATTTGGTGTAAAATGACGGTGGGCATGGATAACATTAACAAGCTCCATTGGAAGTTGGTCATGATACTATTTGGCTTCAATTTTCAAAACAGAATAATAAAGTACTAACACCACACATAACTGTTTTATCGGGGTTTTTATTATAAAAAGTGGTAAACTTAGAAAATGTTAGTATTGTCGCCTATGGCAGAATAAATAGTACCGTTTTCCCTATACTGAAGATAGCAAGGGAAATCAAAATCAATCCGACTTCAGTTAAAGTATACTATTTTGAAGCTTTTGGTTAGTACATTTGATTTTTATCACAATGAATAGAATTTTTTCACTGAGAACAATACTGTGTTGAGAAAAGTGCTGAGTCATCATAATAAGTCAAATTGATGGGTACTGATATAAAACTTTATTCCAGGATTTCAATATTAACTATATTGTATAAAATGCACCAAACTATAGTTCTTTTGTATTTGTTTTCATCTTTCGCAATGATTAATTCAATTGGAAACACCAGAATTCAAGTCGCGACAAATATTTTTAACTGAAATATTTGCCTTTTTTGCTGTGTAATTCCCTAAATGTATCACTTGGGTATTTCTGTAGACATAATCTATTCAAATGGGAAATTGTCTGGTTAAGTTTGTACTGTTTATGGAGTAAGGCAACATTTGGTCATACTAGAAGCATTTTCAGTGTTAAAATTGTCCATCTAAGAAAAAAAGAGGCCCACTTGAGGCTAAATTTAGATAGAATTAATACTCTCCTGTGTAAAGAATTGGTCATATTCTTGGCAATTCATGCAGCAAATATTTCAATAGTGCTTCATTTTGTAGTTTCTATCTTTTATTATATCAGGCATATATAATTTTTCATTTTCTACTGTTTGAAAGGACTTTTGTTGGAAATTAATACTCCCAAGGGACATAATTCAGCTTTTTCATAGATTAATACAGGCAACAAAGGCAACTTTACAGCTGAGTATTTTGCATATTTAATGTTGAAAGTGTCTAATATCTTTGTTCTCATCATCTCAAGAAAGAATAATGGATTTTATAACAAGCTCTGAAATTTTGAACCACAATATGGCATATACTAAAGCATGGAATGGAGATTAGTATGAAAAATCTTGAGTTTGTGCTTATGTTGTAAATTTTGGATGAAATGTATACAAATTGAATGGAACTGTTATTTTTATCTGTTTAAATGGAACTGTTTATTATTCTTTTTAAATAAGATAAGATATGATTGGATACAGGTTGTTTATTAAGCCTTATCTGAAAGAAGTAGAGAAAGAGGTAAACCAGCATGTAGGGGTGGGGACATTAAATGATCCATGTTTCTTTAAGTAATGGGAACATACAAGTATTTATTATAGCCAAGGATTTCACAATAACCCAGTATTGCATTAATGGTGTCAAAAGAATTCTTTATATCTTTATGTCACAGTATAGGGAAAACGGTACTATTACATTTTCCCAGCATTAGGTTGGTCTTTTGTGTACCCAAGGCAGGTGAAGGAAGTCAACTTAGGAGCGCTGTGATTGGATGTTAGGGTACAATATAATTTTTTATTTATCTATGAATAACTGCAGTGTGTATATTTACAATATAAATTTTCAAACCTGTTGAAATATTTTCTAGAGAATTATTCAAAAAGACTTCAAAATTTTCATAAATTTGGTGTAAATGACGGTGGGCATGGATAACATTAACAAGCTCCATTGGAAGTTGGTCATGATACTATTTGGCTTCAAGTTTCAAAACAGAATAATAAAGTACTAACACCACACATAACTGTTTTATCGGGGTTTTTATTATAAAAAGTGGTAAATTTAGAAAATGTTAGTATTGTCGCCTATGGCAGAATAAATAGTACCGTTTTCCCTCAAATTGATATTAACAACACGAATGGCTAACGGAAAGAGCAAAGTAATCTCGTAATTGTTTAAACTCTTTAAATAACATTTTATCATTAGTTTAGCTATCAACTGTTTATACTTTTTCAATAGGTTTTTTAAATATTGTTTTAAGCGCCGATAAATCACGTTCACCTATCGTGTTTTGCATTGTTAACAACAGAACAAGCGTCTTCAATTTGGAAACAACTTTTGTTAAAGGTGTGTAATAACAGAATAAAATAAGTAATTGGCAAATGTACTATTTGTTATGCCCCACCTAGGGGCATTATGTTTTTCGGTCTGTGTGTCCGTTCGTTCGTTAATCTTTCCTGCTTCAGGTTAAAATTTTGGGTCATGGTAGTTTTTGATGAAGTTGAAGTCCAATCAACTTGAAAATTAGTACACATGTTCCCTATGATATGAGCTTTCTAATTTCAATCCTATTTTAGAGTTTTGACCCCAATTTCACGTTCCGCTGAACATAGAAAATGAAAGTGCGATTGGCGGCATCAGTGTACTATGGACACATTCTTGTTGAAAGATGTTTATTTTTTTGTTCGCTGAAAAACAATAGCTCACATGATTCAAGAAAACCTTTATTACTGAATTAAAAAATCTTTGTAGAGAAATCAGATTGCAGAAGCGTCTCACATTAGATGAGAAAATCATATGATATAATATCAGTGGTATTTGTAAAGACAGTGTAAAAGTAGGAGAACTATTTAACCTGGAATTCATTTCATTTTGTGAAATTGTTACCCACAATTATCAAATTCTGTCTCCATACTCTCGAACTTTCAAATTCATAGTAACGTGTAAGTGTGATCATTACGTTAGTACAAAAAAGACACAATGGTCAGAAAATCTGCGGAATAATTGTGGCAATATCTTGTTAGGATTATTTACATTCCTAATATAGTAAAAATTTATTTAATAAAAGGCTTGCCAAATAGGTGTTTATGTAATATGTACCGTTGTAACATTTAATTTACCTAATTTTAGGACAAGTGCCAATAAAGATTGACCTGTCGATTCCAATATTGTTGTCACAGAACGTCGGTAAAGTACCGGAAGGTGCATACAAGGAGTCAAATAAAGGGCCTTATGTACATCTAGGGCATGTTCCTGCAGCTACTTATCCTTACAAAGCAGGCACTTACAACCACGTTCCAGTGGAAGATGAAACAACATCATATTAATCAACACAACCAAGAATGAAATTCAAGATGTAATAAAAGTTTAAATATTCACATGTTATATATTAGCTGCCGACATTAACTCAGACACTTTTGAAGTCACATTGGTCTTTAGACTTAACCATGCGGTTTTCTTTCATCTGAGATAATTTATTCTCAAACATCATCTATGAAAAGTAAACCAAACTCGATCGCTATCAATGAATAATGTGTTAATACCAAATCCCATTCAGAGTCAAAATCCTACTGCATAATGTTGAAATCTAATATGTTTCCTACCCTTGGTATCTTTCACCTCTCTTTTACATAACTGTACATGGATACTTGTTGTTCGAAAAGTAGTTCAACACCAATATATGCTCAACCAGGAACATTGTATATATAAATAAGAAGATGTGGTATGATTGTTAATGGGACAACTATCCATCCAAGTCACAATGTGTAAAAAGTAAACAATTATAGGTCTAAGTACGGCCTTCAACATGGAGCCTTGGCTCACAACGAACATTCTAATCTATATAAAAAACGAGAAACGAGAAACACTTATGGTTGTTTTTGTAATTTGGGAACATTTCATACACTATTTTTTCAAGACTTTTTGCGATGTCTTCACATATTGTAAAGACAGCTGTCCTTTGTTAAAAACAACCTTTAGATGTTTTTACTTTTTTTTGTTGATTTGATGCTTTTTCATTGCAATATAGCCAACATATTCTTTTTATTAGAAAATATTTTGCCATAAACAAAAGCATGACAAAATGTCCCCCAAAAAATTTCAAAATAACAGAAAAAAGTCTAATGGGTAAATAGTTTTATTAATTTGGATCTATGTTATACACATGTTATAATTATGACATCGGTTACCAGCTCACAGATAATTGTTCAGATCAAATGTCCGGAGAAAATTGTGTGTATGAGGTAGATAAGCGATGTCAGGCCCTTGGAGATTGTAGTTTTATACACATGATACATGAAAAAACTCCTCATAGACACCAGGATTAACATCGAGTACGCCAGAAGCGCATTTCGGCAACCATAGACTCATCAGTGACGCTCAGATTTCAAAAGTTGAAAAGGCCAAATAAAGATGAAGTTGAAGAACATTGATGACCCAAAATTCAGAAAGGTTTTGCAAAATACAGTTAAGGTATTGTACATGTTTTCCTGGTGTAGAAAATCCTTGGTAAATGAAATGCGGTTTTTGATATGCAGACGGTGGCATTTCATGAGTTACAACTTCTCACTCTTCGATAACAATGAAATTATTTCTAGTTTTATGTATCTTCGATGTTTTGAAAGGAGAGGGACGGAAGATACCAGAGGGACAGTCAAACTCATAGATCGAAAACAAACTGACAACGCTATGGCCAAAAATAAAAAGACAAACAGACAAATAATAGTATAGATGACACAACATAGAAAACTAAATACTAAGCAACACGAACCCCACCAAAAACTGGGGGTGATCTCAGGTGCTCCGGAAGGGTAAGCAGATCCTGCTCCACATGTGGCACCCGTTGTGTTGCTTATGTTATTACAAATCCGGTAAGTCACATTCGTGAAAAGGGAAGGGTATTATAGTTACGGCATAAGGAACATATCCGATATCATCTGTAAAACGGTTATTCCATAACGGTCAACCAACTCGTGATGGCGTCCGTAAAAATTACGAAGGGGTGATTTCAACTTCACCATTTGGAACTCTTGGCTTAATAGCTTCCATGTGAGCAGCAATCCTCTAGTTCTTGTCTTTTTGTAGTGTTCGTTTTTGCCATTCCATTGTCAGTTCGTTTTAGACTTATGTATGTGTTACCCTTTGGTATGGTCCGTTTCTATCTAGAAAGTAAAGAAATAATGGAAAATAGTTAAGTTTAATAATACAAGTAGGTGACATCTTGCAAATATAGCTATTTTTCAAAAAGATATTAACAAAATTATTCCAAGGTAAATTTAAAAATGGGGATTTACATAAAAACTGACAAAACCAAACGCTCAACTATATCAACCAATGGAATAAATGGAAAACAACTGTCATATTCCTGACTTGAAACAGGTACTCTCCGAGAAATTGGTGGGCACAACTACCCTATTTTGGCAGCATTGCTAACATATTCATAGATATTTTGATTTGTTAAACTACTGGTCTCCAGATATGACTTCCATGCTTCATTCCATAGAGACAAACATCGGAAATTGTACCAGTATAGATACAGTTGGAAAGAGGACAAATAGAATTTTATAGAAAACTGAAAGTCAAGGAAGGAGTAGTAAAATTTTAAGTAAATACTTCAACTCTAAAGATTCGGATCAATTAAAATGCCGCACAACCCTTTGTATGTCTTTGGAAAACAAATAGAACGTGTAAAATTTGTATATTCCAGTATATAACTTGTTTATGAAACTACGTAAATATAGTTCAAGTGGCACAGTTTAATTTGAAAAAAAAAGTTCATATGGAAAATTGCATGGCCTTTTTTACACGAGTGCGAACTATTTGGTGAAAAACAAAAACGATGAAGAATTGTAACAAACATTTTATTTTGTTGAAAGTTACATGTGTAATGAAATAATAAAAAAAAACATATAGTATTAGGGAACGACCATTTAGTTGGGTAAAATATTCATTTCTATCATCCTGTGTTTTTGCAAGGTTATTTATTGCCAAGTCAACACAACACTCCCTCCCATTCCCGGAATATCCAATGGCCGTCCCCGTACAACAATTTTATTACTATTAAGAAAATCATGGGACTTAGATATCATAATACAGCATAAATTCGGTTAACATTATGAATAATTTCGCTAAACTCCTGTTTGCATAGTCATTTTATTTAATATGCACATATATACTTAAAATTGTTAAGAAGTGCTTATATTCACTTTTCGCAATCAATGCATTGGAGACGGTGGCTGGTTTTGATGTCTTTAAGATTAAACTAATTTTTTATTAAACTTAACATTTTCAGTATCTTGAAATGCTTTCAATTTGTTGTTAAAGTTTTCAGGTTCATAGACATAGTATTTTTTTTGTTAAAAAGCATAAATGAGGTAGACTTACACCGGCTGAATATCCTGTCTCTGAATTATCTAAGAATTGTCACAAAGGTAGGGGTGTTAAGCTAGCTGTTAAAGAAAAAGAAAAAGTGTATGCAGTAGTTTCTCTTATGCTACGATTTATTTTTAAATACGAACTTTTGTGATGACAGGTGTTTTATTAGTTTTTGCCACATAAATTAAAATGTAAGTATACAACCCATTAAATTATTCTCATATCTGAATTACGTTATTTCCCTTAAACCATCTTTTTATAACATCGGCATACAAATTTGGAACGTTCAAAAATCAAACTATCTTGATGGACGATATAAGTGAAAATAAAATTATATTTAGGACATATGTTTTGTAGTAATTTCATTATTTAATTCTAATTTGGTAATAGTAAATACAAAAAATATATAAATATTAAGCTGTCTTGGCCAATTAGTTGTGTGTCTTATTGCAAAGTTTTAAATTCAATAAATAAAATCAATTAACGGTACGATATCTTCATCGCTTACAACCGACATGATTTTGCAATAAGGGGTTTGTTTTTATTACTAGTCGAAGCTTAAGGTATCACTGTGACCATGAGTAGAGAGCAGCAAAAGTAACTTCGTTCCTTTCCAGTTGATCCTGTTGAATGCGTGTATGGACTATGTGTAATGAATAAATACATTCTATCCTTTTTTTTTATTTACATAATTTTTATGTCGCTTGTAATGTGTATATTAACAACCATTTCCGTTTACATTTGGCGATTCATTATTTATATCAAACAAATAAAAGAAAAAAATACCATGCTTTAGTATATGCGTCAAGACGTCAATTAAAAAGCATCTCAAAAACAAAAATAACAGAAAGTTTTTGGATTGAAATTTACATTTTCATATACAGTTTTCAAAAAAAAGACAGATGTATATAGAATATCAAACTCTAAATCGCCCGAGTCTGTAAATGTAATGCATGAATTTAACGAAAACCTTTAGAGATCTGTCCGTAACACTCAATTATCCAAACCTACAAAAAAAGATAAAGATACGATATAGGTCAGTACATATACATGTGGTGGGTTGAACTAGTGTGTTGATATTTAGAACCTCCTCATTTAAAGATATATGGATCATTCGATTAACAAAACGTACATAACAAGGCGTAAACTAAAAACCAATAAAGAAAAAAAAACTAAATCTAAGATAACGGTATGAAATATATAACATTACCACAACATAGATAACAAATAATTATACCATATTAAAAAAAAATCCGCAGAACAGGAAGAAATGATCTTGTGCAAAGCCAAAATCATACTATACAGCCAAAACAAAGGAAAATTTTTGGATTCGCTTCAAACGTTAACTTAGCAATTTGATATTATATTTAAAAAAAATCAAGACAGAGTGATTAAATAACAACGAATTAATTATAACCTCTATCATTAAATATATTAAGCCAAGGAGACAGATTTTAAGGGCAACTCCTACATTTGTCAGCTTTAAAAACTATTCTGCGAAGACAAACGTTTTTCAAAATGGCAAAAAATAGACAAGTTGGTTTAGATTTACAGACACAATTTATTAGAACCAGAGAAAACTGTCAAATCAAATTTAACAATTTTGCGAACAGTGGACGAGGAGGCAGATAATGTTTTTCACAAAAAAATACTATCGTTCTAAAATATTAGCACGAGAGAATAAAAAAAATAGAGAATGATTTGCTGTGGTTTCAGAACAAAATTGATCAGACATAAGAGCTATGCTAAAAATTTAGAAATTCTGTATTCGAGCTATGACGATATTGATCTACATATATATAACATGACGCTTTTAAACTCTCTTTAATTTAAGGGGGTTTATAACACCCAAGGGAGTTAACTCTTTAAGAATCAGCACACACTATAGTAAAGAGAAATCAAGTTTCTCAATGATCAAAATTAGTGTTTGTCAAACTGCTATATATCCAATGAAATTATTCTTGTAA